TTCCCATTTTACAAAAAGAAATAATTAAAAGTTCAGTTCATAAAAAAATCAGAAACTATTTTATATACTTAGAGAATCATACAAAAAAAGGTGAACATTCTATTTTTCTACTTTTCAGCTTTTTAAATTCTACTTTTTTTTTTTAAAAAAAAATATACTGAAAATTACAAATATATGAAATATTCAAGTAGGTACAAAAACCAAATATTATAAAGATGAGTCAAACCAATGATTTGTATTGTTGAAGGCAAAAGTGCTACAGCACAAACCATTGTTTTGACACAAATTTATTTAAAAAATAAATCAATTATATTATAAAATAGTTTTTGTTTCCATACATTTTTTTTCCTCCTCAAACGACAATCCGAGTAGTAACATAAATTTCTGGAACTAAAAATGTCGTATCTCGAGGATTTAGGTACATGTATGTATATGTTCTCTATACTTATGAACCGCTTGAAACTCCAATAAAATTTAATACTCATATATTCTATTCAAATATTGTTACTTATTTTATTTTAACAAAAAAAAAATCAAACATTACTTACATATTTAATTTTTCTTGTATTTGCATAATATTTCACCATCTGAAACTTTGTTATCGAAACAAATGTTCTAAAATCGAACAGTTTTTGATTTGAGTTTCAAGATACATAAATCAACGAAACTAATATGTCAAAAAAAATTATTCGAGTGTTGAGAAAAATCATCGAACTTCGAGTCATAGATATTCGTTTTATTTTTGATATGAACAAAAAATCAAAAAGTAAAGTTGACGTAAAATCTTATTTTTGGTATATTATTAGAGCAGAAAAAGTATATACTTATTTGAATAAGATGAGGTAAGGTATTAATTATGCGCTTTAGAATGCTAAGTAAACACCAGATAGATAGATAGGTATGTACTTGCAATTTTAGTTTCATTAGCTCTTCCTTACCCAGCATTTACACGTACAAGTTACTTGCAAGAAAGTTGCAATACATACAAAAATTTTACTAACACATTGAAATATTTCTACTTGCTTGTTTACTTGCAGTTCAACTTGCAAGAAAATTTTGCTGCCAGTAATTTGAGCAAGTAATTTGACATATTGAGAAATTCACAAAAAAAAAATTTGTTGTTTTGATTTTTTTTTTTTTTTAATTTAAAATTTTTGAATTTTGTTTTGAAAAAATTAAACTTAGCAAACTTATGGTTTCTAAAATTTATAAACAATTATATATATTGCTAGTTGTTTTCTTCTCAAAGACATTTTCAAAAATTAACTTGCTAAACGCCTACGTCATAATAGCAAGTAATTTGACATTTCGAAAAACTAATTGACAATTAATATTATACAAACTTGCTTGCAAGTAACTTGTATGTGTAAATGCTGGGTTACATGAATTAAAATATTTCCAACTCACATATAAAGGGAAAATAAGATAATGTTAATGTTTGTTTGTTTATGTAATTAATTTTGTATTTAAATATGAAATGTCCAATTAAATTAATATTAATATTTACAAACAATTATATAAAATATGAAATATATTATTATCACTCATTTCATTATGAAAGAGAAAAAAATGTTTACATAGCTCTATGAATTATGATCTCATGAATCACGATATCACATTTTTGAGTTTTTTATTTGCAATTTTTTTCTTTATCTCTGTTTTATTCAAATGGTATGTTTTTCAGAGTCAGCTCCGCTTATAAATAAGAAATTAGAACCAATTGCAACAACAATTCCGTTTTCTAATTTTAATGAGAAGAAAGAACAAAAGATGAGAGAATGAGAAAGTGATCAAGGCAAAACAACTTTTGATAATTTTTTTGTATGAAAATGGCTTTATGTTAGAAAAAGGTCGTGAGCTTTGCAATGTTGAATGTTATGTAAATGATTACTCAATGAATGAACTGGATGAACTCTGTTAGTGTTATTTTGCCACATCTGTTAGGACTAAGTATAGTAGATCCACCAACCTTACTTTGGCCAAAAATTCCTTATCAGTTGCTGAATTGTTTCTCTCATGATTACTAAGAATCGTAGATGCAACGCATTCGGGATAACCATTTTGAAAAAGAGCGGCTCTCTAGCATAGTTTGAGGCATTCATTGTTTCAGAAAAAGATTTGTCAAAATTTCTCAATCCTTAATTTATAAGATTTCTGAGTTTTTAAAAGCGGCCACATATTTCGGATCCTTCACATTAATTCTAATATTTAGCTATTTTTATTTAATTTAGTTACTGCCTGTGTAAAATTAGCATTATCCCTAACTCTTACAATTCTACTTGGATTTTGTTTTAATTCTTCTTCAGTGAATATATGACTAAAAACTCAGTTCCTTTTTAAGAAAATACAATTATCTATCTGTATTTTTAACTGCTTTTCTTCTAAAATTTTAATCGCTTTTAGGTTTTTATCGCTTTTATGTGTTTCCTCAAACTAATGCTGATAATGAAAGTGTCATCCAGGTGCACAGCACATATTTTATGATTCCTCAAAATTTTCTTCATCAGCCTTTGAAATATGGTTGGGTCGTTTTTTTAAACCGAAAGATATCCTGTTAAATTTATATAGACCGTGGGGTGTTAAACATGCTATATTTTTCTCAGTTTCTTCTTTAACTTCCATCTGACGGTAACTCTTCGCCAAATCAATATTTATAAAGTATTGAGCTCTACCCAATTTACCTATTATTAAATCATTATTGGGACAAGGATATTGGTCGTCCACTGTAACCGCGTATAAGCTATGACAATTTCAAATTTATTTTTACTTTAATTGTCAGACTTTTTGGGTCGAATATCTCGAATTACTTTTTCTAACAATTCCTGTTATTCCATTTCCATGTTTTGTTTTCTAACATCTTTTTGCATATATATCTCAGTCAATTTTTGTAACTTTCATATTTATTTTCTGTTGTTTTTCACAATTTGTCACCTTCTTTAAAAAATAAATTGCTAATCCTATTGAATAATTTTTTTATTTTGACTAGTTCCCTCGAATTTACAAATTATATTGTTTACAGTCTCTACAGTATATATTTCATCGAATAAATATGGTTTTGCAAATTTTGTCCATTTAAATTGGTTTTCATGTTTATAAATATTATCACACTATTAAGATTTTATAATAAACTTAAATTTATCATAAATTGATATTTTCTATTCGGCAATTTTTGAACTTTCCATCTTATGAAAGTACCAGGCGGGGCTTTTAATTTTTTTGGAACTTGAATATATACATACTTCAATTTTTGGACTTTCCATCTTATGAAAGCTCCAGGCCTGGCTTTTAATCCTTTTGGAAGTTGAATATATACATACTTCTTCAGTAATACTGTCCTTACAATTTATCGTAGAAAAAATAAGCTGATTTTTATTTTCATAAAATCTATCACTTTATTATCAATGGTACTAAACGTAGCTCCTGTGTCTTCTAGGGCTGTTTTTATTATTTATAGCTAACTTTAAAATTGGTAGATCTTCCGAGGCTAATTTATAAAAGAATCGAAATCGTTAACTTCCTCAGCATTATTATTCTGTACGACATTTATTTCCATTGGTACAATATTTCTAGAATTAACTGAATTTCTATTATATCTATTTTGCACCCGCATTATTATCCTGTGCGGCATCTATTTCCATTGGCCCAATATTTGTAGAATTTACTGAATTTCTATTATATCTATTTTGCACAGGCATTTCAATTTGCTTATTTTGGCCATAATTAGTATATCTGTTATTTAAGTTATTATAATTGTTGTTACTATTACAATTATTTAAACTAAACATAAGACATACATAATTATATATTTCATACAATTTATATATGAAAATATATACATAATATACATAAATGTATATACAATATACATAACTCACGCAATGATCTTGATATTTGTCAACACATCTAAGTTAGAACCACTTCATCAATAAAGTCAACTTTCACTACAATAGAAGTTATGATATGACTTAATGCGATGCAATTACCAGCAAGTTGTTAATTATCTTTGCTGTCAGAGCCTTTACAATTTTACTGCTGAACCTAAATACGAACTTAACTAAACCTCTTTATACGAAAACGCTACAACCAATATGCCTCACATTAGCAAAAATTTCTTCGAATATTTAAAATTTGATTTTCGGGTATAATGCAATAAATTGATTTCTAAAGATGGTAATGAGCTGAAATAAATTAACTGCTCTGTATAATATACTACTCTGAAGGTGTTTCAATATTTCATGAAAATCATTTATGTTTTATGATAATAACTTGTTTTGTTTGAAAAATCAAGTGGCTTCTTAATGAATATAAGAAGTAACTATATATATGTATATATGTATATATATGTATATAGTAACTATAAATTCAACTTGTTTTTGTCATGCTTTACTAATATTTAGTATTAAATTAAACTATGATTCTATGATTGGTTTTGAATTCTCTAAAATGCTTGAATCGCCAAAAACGATGACATGTTTTCTAAAATACTTATTGTACTATAGATATGTAGGTATAAACTAAATTAAGATTTTCAAAAGCTAACTACTTTTTATTACACTTTTGAGTAAAACAAAATGGATTTTATGATTTATAGTTTTCAAAATTTGTAAACTACACATTGGATTGTAGTCAAGAAAATATTACCACAACAACAGCTTTTTTGCCTTGATATTCAAGTATAATTATGTTAAATAAAGGCTCTCATTTATGTAACTGTTTTTAAAATCGAAGAATTTATTAATGTAATTTCTAACTACATACATATTTAAAAAAAAAATGTTAATTATATAAATAACAAAAGAAAGCAAATAAGTAACGCATGCGAAAGAATCACGTTTCCTAAATTCATTGACAAACGTACAATGCAATACATTCTAAAATTAAAAAGATGTTTTCTTATTTCTTAAGTAATTACATTACTTTATATTAGAATCTATTATGAAAAGGTATATTTGCGAATCCACTAATGCTATCTTAAAATTTAATATATTTGCTGCCGGAAATAATATTCTAATACATTTTTTATTAAATAACAATAATTTTAAAAAATTGAATGAAATTGAAAGAGATTTTACATAGGTATATAATAAGGTACATAAAATACATATCTGAAGAATTTTTTTTTTAAATTTCTTCTGCTTTAATGTACATATACTTTAATTAAGCTCCTCACGAAAACTATCTTCGGTCATCTGGTCTGTCATCGTTGAATTATCAGATATCATTTGAAGTCCTTCAACATCTATTGGAGTCAATTCTAAATCTAAAGAAGCAAATATCTCGCGAGTAAAATCTGGATTACTTGATGAAAAGTCTGTAAAAACTATTTCTGGAATTCTTGCCGGTGTGCTTACCGTTGTGTTGTAATTGTTAGTGTGAGATAGTTCTCTATCACATTCATTTTCTGAAACATCTAGATTACCCAAAGTTATACTAAATTGATTGTTACCATCATTATCACTTCTGTTGTTAATATTACCAGTGCCCCCACCAATCATTTGATTTGACTGAGTTAGGCGGTGTTGCTGCTGTGAATTTATTAAAGTTTGTTGATGTTGATGAGACTGTTTTTCGTAATTACTGCTGGTTAACTGTTGGAAAATATTTTGTGCTTGTTGTGCATTTGTTATGTTAGCAGTATCCGAACTACTGCTATCCACTAAAGAAAAATGTTGAAAATGATTTTGCATTTGTTGATTAAAGCTATTCGTGTCATTATTTTGCTGTTGCTGGCTTTGATAATTTGGTGAGGGAGATGCATCAATTGCATTATGGTTATACTTACTGTCGTTAATAGATTCCGGACTCAATGGAGAATTTGGATTCGATTCACATCCAGGAAATGGTGTCGATGCATGAACAAAACTAGGACTGGAACCAGGACTTGGCCTGTTTTGTGGATTTCGATATTCAGTGGTGGAGCTGTCTGAAAGTTGGGCATTAGAAATGCTAAAAGATTGTAATTGACCATGAGAGCTATGTATTACGTCATTGCCTATCAAATTATTGAAATTTTTGCATGATTGCTGATGTTGTTGCTGATTATGCATTGAACCTGGTATATTAGTAAAAGAGTGAGATGTTTGCCCTATTATTGAAGAATTGTGCGGGTTGAAATTTCCGCTATTTGTTCCACTAGTACTTCCAACACTTGTGCTTAAAATTTCTCGCTGGTTTACGAAATGTGTTGGACTATATGTATTTCGACTATTAATATTATAAATTGGAGAATATTGATGCCTATTTGGTGGTACTGAATGGGGTGACAGTGTAGCTGGAGATGTTGTAGGGCTAGGACTATAAGTGCTGTTGTTAGATCTGTCGCCTGCACCATTCTCTCCCGTTCCAATTTCTCCCCCACCGCTAGGACAATGATCTTTGTTATTTATACTGGCTTTAGGCATGAAATGCACCGATGTTAAATCTGGTAATGACGCAGTATTAGCCATTGATACTGATAATTGATTGTCAGGAAAAAAAGGACTGGTCAACAAATTTGACGAACTTTGTCTAATATTAAAAGCCGAGCCTGCTTTTGACGGGCAAACCCCAGACTGATTATTTGAACCTATATTTTGAATTCTCACACTTGCATGATGTGGTGATTGCTGTAATCTTTCTGTTGAAATCATATTTCTATTACCACTACTTGAAGGTAATTGCCCTTTTGATTCATCATGAACGAATGCTAAACTATTATGTATTGCAGGATCTGATTTCACGCGTCTAAAATCACTGGTGGGAAGACATAAATATGTTCCACCATAAGGAGATGTATCAACTTTTCTTTCTGAAGTCCTACGTATTGGCCCGATACCTACACTTCTTCCTCTAGATTCTCTATAAGATCCAGTACTGCTTGCTATATTTATGCAAGCACTTCCTGGTGATCTGCTTTCTTCGGAAGGCCCACATAACTCAGTTACTTCTTTCATAATTTTCTCGAATTCAGCTGTTCCTTCAGCTTCTTTCTGCTTTTGCAAAGCAATTTTTTCGCTAAATTTTCTTGGTGTAGCCATATTTAATGGTATACAATTATGATCCTTGAATCTGATGTTTGATTGTTCTATAATCAAGCTTAAACGATTTTGTGCGCGTTAATCTTTACTTAAGTTTAATATTTTAGCATCAGCCAAACTTAATATTTTGAAGAAATATTACAAGTTGTATTCAACAATGATTTTAAATTCATTAGCAGCTTATATAATATAAAAAGGTCTATTAAGTTATTTAGATCCGAATTATGAATGAAACTCCAACTAAATTTCACATTTCAGTGAGTTATCTAAAAATAGAAAAAAAATTATATTTAATCAAATAAATGCAGTATTTTGTTTGTTGAATTGATAAAATATGTTCGAAAAAACACCTACATAGATGATTAGAAAATTCAAGCTAAGTTTGCTGAATTTGAAGTCTATAATTTAGAAATAAAAAACTTATTTTGGAAGAAGCTTAACAGCAAGCATCAAAATATTTTTGAGTATTTAATTTGTTAAATCTGTAGTCTATAATGAAGGGATGATCGTCACTTAACGACTGAATATCAATTTCTTCTAGCCCGTCAAAACGATAAATGATTTTCTTGAAATTAAACGATTACTCATTGATACTATAAAGAAAATTTTTGCTAAATATATTTCTTTTTTATACGTATCCTACACACTTTCTGTGTAGTACAGCCCTATTTTTATTGAATTCTACTGGCCTATTTCTAATTAAAAATAAAACGTATTCGACAAAAATCGGAAATCAAATGATAAGTCATTCTATGACTATAATTTGTCGCAAAACATGAAAGTATAATTTGTTTTTTTTGCAAACGAGCAAGGATGTAGCCGCCCTTTCATTTAAAAAACTCGAATTATTCAAGAAGCCGAAAAAATTACTTTGACGTTGATCATAAAAAATCCTCACATGACAACTGGAAATGTACACAGTGGAAAAAGTTAGAAAAAACCAAAAAAAGAAAAAAATTCAAAAGTTAACGGCGGATTGATAACTTGTTCTACTCTTTAAATAAGGATCACTGTGTACATCAGGCAATTAATTTGCCGATAGGCCTTTAGTAAATCTCCCTAGCACTTTCTTTGATAAAATTCTTAATCATTTTTATAAATATTCTCTATAAATATTCCAAATTTTGTTGAGAACAAAATGTCAAATCTCAACAAATTTCGAGGTAAAGAGATTTAAATAAAAAAATTTCTCAAAATATATACTTCGGGTCATATGAGGGAGCCTTATATGACCAGGTAATTGCGATTTTCTTAAAATCTAATTCATGTAGGTGCTTTACATTATTTTTCAAATATACAAATATACAAATATGTATTGAATAACTGCATCTTATTTTGATTTGAAGAAAAGGACAATAAGTTTTTACAAGGGCGCTTAATAAAATCACATATATAAAAACATTCATGCATTGTCAAACTGCTTCTGAGGTTACTAAAAGAAGTATTGGCAAGTAGTTTTCAAGTTTCTGAAGTTAGTACTATAGAAATTTAAAAGTAATTAAGTTTTATTTTAATATTTAAATATATACAATCTTTTTAAAAGACTGTAAGAAGTTGCAAGGTTTCCAAAAATACCCTTCTTTAAAACTTTCGTTTTTGTTTATATCCAAATAATCAAAATATTTTTCACATTATTTCAACTATTAAATATCACGTCAGTTATTAATGCCATCAACCTAAAAACATTTTTATCGTCTCCAGAGACACGACTATCCGAAAGGCATATTTTTAGTTTTGTTCATCATTCCAGTGACGCGACTAACAGAATATGGTGAATGTCTGGGAAAAATTAAATCAACAAGCTGAACTATTGTCAAATCAATATTACGTGATAGATCCCTTGCTATTGAAAGCGGCATCAAAGTCTTAAATAAATGAAACTCATTTAGATACAAGTGCTGATGAAGATAACGGATTGTGTAATATTATTCTTGTTTTTAATTTTATGTTTCTTATTTTTAATTTAGATGAATTAATATTGAAAATTTTACAAAAAAATCTACACCTACATTCAATTTCCTTAAATGCAAGAAGTATATACTGTATTTTTTGACAAATTCAATGACTTAGAACTATATTACACAAATTTAGTTATGAGCATACTGTTGTAATGTTTATAAAAAGAAATCAGATTTAAGTATTGTATAAAAGGGTAATGATATAAAATCTTAAGTCGAAAAAAATAGCTTTGATGCAGTATATTTTTGTTAAATTTTTGGATATATCCGTTTTAATTAGTTTTTCAAAAGCCATCTAAATTATTCAGTCATATTCAATTCTTAATTTTTCTCTTATTAAGAATTTAGTTTTATTGTAATAAGATACCCAGGTATATCAAAATGCCTTACATGTTCAATTATTTATTATTATTATTATTGCATAAGTAATTATATGTATGGTAATTATTGAATGATTAAATAAAAGTACAGTCAAGTCCGTAGATTTCATTAAAAAACGCACAAGCACTTGTGTTTAAATTGGTTGGCTTTATATTTTAACATTTTTAAACGAAAAAAAAACAAGGAAAAAGAAAATTAATGAGATTTGATAATGCCATACATATCTATCAGGCCATAAAGCTCAGAGAGCAAATGAAAAATAAATTAAAAATTTAAATGGAAGATGTGTCGGAATTTATTTACGTGAAGACAATTGATCAATATTTTTGGCTCTACTGATTCTACATATTGTTTTTAAATTTAAAATATAAATCCCAAAAAAATCGGTTAGCAAGTTCCATCTGAAAAATGCATTTAAAAAAAAAGAAATTGCAATTTTTAGCGCAGACAACCTTTCTTGTCTTCCGAATGGAAAGGTACTGAATTACAGAGTAAAATTTTTGAATAAAAAATAGAATTTAAAAATAAATTGAAGAACAAAGCATAAAAATAACAATTATAATCTAGACTAGATGGCTTTTAAAACTATACTAAATAAAATGAGATTCTCAAAAATTTCACAAAGAAAAATAAAAAAATATGTATTTCAGTCGGCATAATATTTCGAATACATAAAACATGTTTTTTCGAATACATAAGAATTGTTTTTGTATTTTTTTCCGATTCAAAATTTCGGCAAATAATTTAAGCTTGGAGGCCTGATAGATATATATAGCATTAAAATTTGATTAATATAATGTGTTTATAAAAATTTTGAATACAATAGGAACGTGAGTATTCGAAACTTGATAACGAAAGCTATGATCAGAGAAACGCAAATTAAAAGTGTACTGATTTTTAATGACCTTTGGGAATATGTGGTCGGAAATATTGTTATCAACCGATCAATTGATATACGGATTTTGGATGGATTCTTAAGAACAATGGAGGATAACGGCTGCACGGTCACGGCTTAGGCGAATGCCGTACTGATTCAGATCTTTGGTAAGTTTCCGGATGCCATGAGCGGGGCTTGAGACAATTGGGCGTGTGGGGAAGAGGTTTTAGCCTATCGCTGAGACCGATAAGACACAACCTCTTGTCTATCAGGTGGTGGTTTCTTGTCTATCGGTCTGAAGCTTGGCTGGTAGTGCGCGTTTTCTCGGTGTAGTGCTGAATAGCAATCTATCTTGAAACAAAAATACAGAGGAAAGGGCAAGGAGGGCTACGGCTGCGGTCTTTGTCTGTAGGAGGGTTGTGAGCCAGAATTGCGGCATAAGTCTGCGGCTATCATACTGATTGTTCTTATTAAAACATTCTTATCACCAAGCCGCAAAGATTTGGTCATCTAAAATTTATAGATCTCCATTAATTTTTTTCTAAAGATATAATAAAAAATTTAAATTGTGGTAAAAATTCCAAAGATATTAAATTTGATTTTATGACATATAGTAAAGGAAAACTTTCTTAAACACCTTATTAAAAATCTGACTCTGATAAACAAGATATTTTATACATTGTGCGCTTTTGAGATGTAAAAAAGGTATTTTAAACATAATGCATACATATGTGATCCATTTAAAACCACATTGCTTGGTGGATCGAAATTTTTTATCACATTTATAGAACGACCACCATATCAAAAAGTGCTTGATGCTTTCAAAGATTATCTCGTTAAAAAAAAGTTTAACGTACCACAAATTAAAAACAATTAAAAATTTATAATTCTTAATATGAATAAAAGTTATGATTCGGATGAAGAAGTATTAAAGGATTTTCAGAAAATAATTGAGAATCCTAGAAATATAGAATTATTTCAAAAGTGTATCCTCGTCATCTCTTTTTTATTTAAAATGCGATTTTAAATAAAAAAGAGATGACGAGATGATAAACAAACGAAAATCATGGAAATCTTAAATTTATTTGAGAAGGACGACCAAAGAACTTAATATCAGAAAAAGTAAATTGTTCAAGGTGATTGATCAGATGAAATATAAGTACTTCTTATTATAATAGTATAAGTGAAATTCTAAAATTTTAAATATTTGAATAATTTACTGCTCTTTCATGAATTCCACCCGTAGAATTCTACGAATTACGAACATAACTACTTACGTAGCCTTTTCAATGATCACAAATTCCTTCCGTAGAAATTATGAATCACCAATGGCAGTATCATTTTTCGAAGTGTTTTTTAATCAAAATCAGTATTTTATTTCAACTATCAAATGTTTATTTATATTTTTTGGTTGCTATTTCAGTAAACAACTTTCACACGAAAGGATATTTTTTAAATTATTCATGCAAAAGATAATTTCACAAAAATATCCTTTTGCATGAAAGTTTTGCAGCTTTTTTAGGTTTTGAATATCTTTAAAAAGTGGAAAAAAAATTTTTTGGTAATTAGAATTAATTTCCTTTCATGCTGTGTAAAAGTAACTAAAACTCAAACAAAAAAATTCAAAGTTTGGAAATTTAATACGACAATTCTCTTAAAATTTCTTGTAACGATTGTTTATTTCTTTCGTAGAATAATGATATACATATACATAAATTCGTAATTTACTAAGATAATATTATATTCGTAATCTTCCGAGTTTCAGAGCTACGAACGAAATTCATCATACGGATTAGGGCTGTTAGTTTTAGTTAGTTTTTCTGTGTAGAACCACTTTAACTATTATTACCAAATCTCATTATCCTTTGATTGAACCACATCATAAAATAATAATTGTAACATGTAAATAAAATATAATGTATTTTAATATGTTATAAAATATAATTATTTTCTTATGTTTAAAAATAAACATAAGAAAATAATTTTATCAGTTTAAATCATAAATAAAAAAAATCATTAAGTATATTTAAGCAATTTTACTTCAGGTTCCACATGCATGATAACATGGACATTTTTTTATATAAGTAATGAAAGAAAATTTTAGTAGAACACGCTTAACATGAAAGAAGTCTCTTTTTGAGAGCTTCTTTCATGGTATGCGTGTTGGAATTATTGATGCAGATATCTAATAGAACATTGCACAGCTTTGGCTGCGCTTTAGAACTTGTGCTATAATGTTAATATTTACAAGGTTCAGTGTATTTATAAAATTTCAAAACTTTTCGTTTTATAGACAAATTTATAAACTTTGAAATTGCTTTTCCCCTTCTTCATTAGCTTACAGACATAAAGATGTTCCTAAGGCTTTTCTAATAATTTTTTTATGCATTTTGTATAACCAACTATTGAAAATTACATGGGTTCTGATATTTCTACTGAGTTAAATAATACTTTTAAATTGTAAATGATTTTTTAGTTTGACGCCTACCAAAATAGAATATAGCAACTCTACATTAATATTAATCAAAAAATCAAAATTTAAATTAAAAAATAAAGAATAATTTAATTCGTACCAAATGGACAACTCCATTATATTAATTTAGATCATCAAAGACAATTCTAAATGCTCATCCTTTTTTATAAAATTATTCAGGTATTTTTATTTTTTACAATTTAATTTTTTCCAATTGTTTTTTTTTCATCATTTTGTATTCATTAAAACTTATGTATATTACGTTAAGAAACATATTTTTTAATTTCCACGAAACATGTTATTTTATTTACATGAAATTAAACATATTATCTGCAAAAAGATCAATGCAGATTTTGGATTAAATTAAATCCTAATAGTTACAATATGTAATTTAACATATTCAACAGAAATGCTATTATTTTTATACTATGCAATATAAAAAAAAAACAACGTTTAGCTGTTTTAAAGCAAAAAGCAATATTATGGAAACCTTAAGATGACGTGGCGCCAAGGCAAGAAGACTAGATATAATAAATATTTTACATACCTAATACATTAAAATAAATTTTCCTCATAGTAATGTACTCAAATATTATAATAAATTTTGTTTAAAAATTTGCTTGCAAGGAAAAACAGTTAAAATTGTTTCACAAAAAGTAGACTGGCGCTATTTTACATAATTTCAAAATAAATAAAACATTAACAAACTTGTAAAAAAACTTCTCACCAAGTAAATACGAATTTACGTTATACGCATAAGCATATTCAAGAATATTAGATTCAATTCCTGTTTTCGAAAACTTTATTAAATTTTGAGAGCAATATTAACGTTTCATATATGTATTTATATATTACTTTGACAAGAAACTGTTAACCTGTTTCCTTTTGTCTTTTTTAGAATACAAATTTAAAACAGTTCTGCTTACATACCATTGTTCTCTGCTCTAAGGAATTTTTTTCCCTTGATTGTATCACTTTTTGAAAATAAATATTTTGCTTATACTTTAAAAATTATTTTTGTTTGGATCACACTTCTTTCAATTACATATCAGTAATTATGATTTGCACGCTTTATTTCAAATCGCAAAACACTATTCATAATTAAAAAAATTTATACCCGTTCAATTGTTGGTGAAAAACGACATAAGGCATTTTCACGAGATTCAAATTCTTAAAATTTTATCTCTGCTTTAAAATATTTATAATATTAGATGAATTTACAATTTAAAAGTATATTTGTTACTCAAAATAAACTTGTTAGACAAAATAACTAATTAACTAAACTTTTTTTATGATATATGTATTGTTAAATCTCCATATTTCAAGTAGATTGTAAAAATTCGAGCTTCGGTTTATTTTTATCTCTTGCACGCAGAACCCTTCAATGTCTAAATTGTCAAAAACTATGTTGACGCTATGTGGACATTAGAAAACTCAAAAAACAAAACTCCTAGCGAGAATTTTTAGTACTATATATGGCACTAAAATACGTTTACATATAGTTTTGAAATTATTATACATTATTGTACATATTATACTGAGTCATTTGGCTTTTTATTATGAACAGAAAATGATTTAAAAATTTATTTACTTATTCATTCTTAAATAATATATTTTATAAATAATTCACACTAATAATTAATTATATTTACTGCATTCAATGGTATCGGCGCCTTCCTATATTTCTTTGTTGACCAAATCTCCTCTCTATAAAGGTAAATGTTAAAAAAATAATTCACACTTAAAAAAAAATATTTATCAATACTAATTAGGTTAAAATTGATTTCACTGTGTTTTTTTCTTAAGGCATTTTTTTGGGAGTGCTCCTTTCTTTAGTACTTATACAATTTTTTGTATCAATTCATAGCGCTTCCAAAAGAGTTGAAGGAATATCCAAAGAAGTTTATTCCCTTTATTTTTCCTTTTGTGTTTTGGGTTCGATTTTGCTTTTTTCTCAATTAAGATCTAAAAAAGTATTGATATTTACTCTTAAAAAATAATTTTCAGTTGAAAAATATAATTATATACATACATAAAAATATAATGCTAAATAAGAAAAAACTTAATGTGTTACTACAAAACTGTGGTTAACGAAGTTATGTACTTATACTAGTTTCTGATAATTTAAAAGCAGTAACTTACTTTTTAGTAGGAAAGTTAATCAATTAGTGCAGTTAAAGTACCAAATAACCGAATTTGTGAAAACGCTTCAACATCGTTAGATGAAATCTCTTGGTGCAGAATTTTCACAATATATGATAATACGACAATTTATACAATCACTATGACGGGAGCCTAAAATGTAAAAAATGTAGAAACGCATATTATGTCTGATATACCGTGACTTAAATAATGCACTTCCGACGTAAATTTTACAAAGTATCAAGTTCCAAAAAGTTTAGTAAAAGCTCTTGACATTGTACCTAAATGCGTTTTAAAATACCTAGTGGAGATGTAAAATAAAAGTAAATCGGGTATCGAAAAAATCGAGCACGTTTTTCTTATACCTTGCCATATAAATGTTGCCAGAAATAGCCGATAAAATAAACTAGCATATATTTTCAGCAATAAAGTTCTAGTTATAAATTTTTTTCCCTAAAATGCAGCATAAAAATGTTTTTAATGATGCGGTAACGTTTTAAAAAAATTAACATTTGAACAAAATTTTAATCAATAAACAATTTTTAAAATTGTTTAAGATATTAAACAATTTTAAAAATTGTTTAATATCTTAAAAAATCTCAGGATATTATACACATTTTTTAAAAAGCCTCCAATTTAAATTCTATTGCACGAAAGAAAGACAGGAGGAAAGAAAAAAATTTTCAAATTCATATTTCAGTATGGTTTCAAATGTTAATGAGGAAGGATGTATAAATCATACATTCATGTACATTTTGTATTTCTCAATAAGGTAAGTTGAATAGTGTCGGCTAACAAAATGAATACAGTGTGATACATTTCAATGATTCGGTTTTTTATACTTATAGAATTGTTTCAAATAATTTCAATTAGTTTTTAAGTTGTTAAAAATAAATATATATGTACCTGTTTCCAATCAATTTTTTTCTACATAATTATTTTAAAAGTAGTTCAAACATATTATATTGAGTGCTTCAAAAATTTTGTTGTACTTTTCTTTCATATTTTAATAACAGGTAAACAAGAGTAATATTTATAAAATTGTCCTGGCTTTGTATGAATGTTAATAGTGAACGCAAACGGACAAAAATTTACATAAATAACCACTACCTGTAATTATACATTCGGAATTTTTGAGTCATTTGCTCAGATTTGCATTTATTTCAAAAATAAAAAAGATATTCAAATCCGGTCATAAAAATATATGATTGTCTTTTCCAAAACCGTTTAAAATTTTTTTACTCGGGTAATATATTAAGTTTTAAAAAATTTTCTCAAATAAAAATAGAGGTAAAATATTGAAGTGTATATAAAATGTGGTAAAATAATATTTTATTGTATTTTAGATATTATTTTCTGATTCCCTCTTCAAATTTTTTCTTTACTATGTATTTATGTCATGTTTAATTATTATCCTGTCATTAATTATATTCTCAACTTGACACTATAGTTACTTCCCATATCTTGATTTGACTTACCCTATGAGAAAAAAAACTGTTAACTTAAAAATAATGAAATGATTTCAGTTGGTCAGAGGTAATATCGTTTATTTCAGTGATTCGTTCCGAACGAACTACTTTTTTTCACTGACCGATTAGAAAATCTCGTTCAATCGTTCATTTCCTTCACTTCCCTACTGTATATATAATTGCATGTTTTTTGGTTATAATTATATGGCTATTCGGGTTTATGGTAAATTTCGAGGAAAAAGTATGTAATGGGTTTTGTAAATTAGTAATAAGTTTTGAACTACAAAATTTCTCTACTTATATAAACCAAAAAGTTTAAAATGTAGAGAAAAATTTAAAACTTTTACTTAAAAATATGTTATATTATAAGTAATTTCTTAAATTTGAAGAAGTTAAATTTTTTTTATTTTTTAAATATTTATCCGTTTTTAAATATATAGGTAAAAAAGTGATCATAATTATTATCCGTTTTTAAATATTTTATGGATAAATATAAGTCATATGGCAAAACAGTTCAAGGCTTCCTTTTGTTTATTTAGGTAGCTTTCAATCTGGTGTGGAATATTGATAAAAGCAACTGAGAAGTAAAATAAATAAAATTGTATACCCACAAAAGTGACCGAATCAGTTGCTAATATAAATACAATAGAAGTAAAACTGAACGATACACTAAATTGTAAAAAATTGAAAAAAAAAAATTCTCTTTAAATTCTATTTCTTATTATACAAGAATTTTACTCTGTAATTCAGTACCCTTCCATTTGGAAGACAAGAAAGATTGTCTGCACTGAAAATTGCTATTTTTTTTTTTTTTGTAAATGCATTTTGCAGATGGAATTTATCAACCAATTGTTTTCAAATTTAAATTTTAAATTTCAAAAAATATGTAGAATAAGTAGAACCAAAAATATTAATCAGTTTCCTTCACGCAAATAAATTCCGACACACCTTCCATTTAATTCCATATAAATTTGGAATTTATTTTTGATTTGCTCTCTGAACTTGACAGCGTGATAAATATATATGCATGGCATTAGCTAAAACTATCTTACTTTTTTAAATATTTTTGTTCAAAATATTAAACTAAAATTATTAAACTTTGACGTAAAATATGGCCGTTATCAGATGATTTCTTCCTAATACGTTAGCCAAGATTAGACCGCAGATTTAAACTACGTTTCCTTTCAGGGTTCTGGGATTTGGAAAATATTATTTTATAATTTAGAAAAAATATGCAAATCTGAAATGTCTCCACAGTTCATACAGCCACTCTTTTGATTTAAAAAAAACGTTAACTTTTGACCACAGCTTATAGAAATTCAGGCCTGGACACTAAGAAAGAGTAACATTTCTCAGCTGACGAATTTTATACGTACTCTTGTGGTAATTATAGAGGATTCCTTTTAACATCATAAATCTGCCACAAGATCAACTTTTTACAAATTTCTGCTAAGAAAAAGTTAAAATTCAATGTTACTAGTGCTAGCATTCTTATAGTTTTGTGTTATAAAAACATAAAAAACACACATGTTTTTTTTGTAAAATATTCAGCTGATTTTTTGTGTTTTTCCCCATTTGAAAAAGTGTAAATTTGATATAGATATATGTTCTAATTATGTTTTTATTAGCAGTACTATATTATTTTTTTTTTATTTTTATTATTATAGAATTTATTTTTATATTTTAATGTTGGACACATAAATCAATAAAGCAGTAAAATAGTGTTTTATTTAACGTTGATTTTATATATAATTTATGTTTTATACATGTTTATAATTGAATTCAATCAATAGATATTTTCTTATTTATATACATACATAAACTAGTCGCGTAAGCTTATATTGCAAGCCTTGCAAGTATTATGTTTCAAAATAGTGCTCCATTCTGTGTGTGACATATTTAAGGTTTACTTTTTTTCTTCAAAAACACACCCGCATATATTTTGTTACCGTATATAGATACGTTTTTTTCCTAATAAATAATAAGATAAAACTTAAAATAAGAAAAGTTCTTAAAAATAATTACAAAAAAGTACATAGTTATAGACACAATTAGATCCTTTGAGATGTAATGTCTTTTAAGTAATTTATTTTAAAACCTCACTTTAAGTTATGCCGCATAAAATCGTAAATTACCTTTGACAATAAACACTTTAAGCGATCAATTACTGCATGCGCATTAAATAAATCGCGACTGAAATCCATACATATATGTATTTGGATTTTATATACATGAGAATAAAACGCGTGAATGTTAACACTTATACTATGTAGGGTGATGAACTGATGAACATTTTTCTTTATTGATTTTTACTAATACTATATAGGGTGATGAAGTGATGAACGTTTTTCTTTATTGATAATTTTATTTTTTTTTATTCTTGATAATTTTTTATTTTTTTAAAATTACCCTATTTGTAAAAATTTAATCAATGACATTATAATTACAAGATAGTTCAACACGAACAAAAAAAATTTTTTCTACTTTTATAATCGGGCCCATACATTGGCAGAACATAAAGTATTACATGTAAAAACGTTAACAAAAATAATTTTCTCTCTGTGAGTTATGGGCAGGGCTGTCGTTTGACTCAGATCGGACCCATTTGGCTTTGATTAGAAATTTCTGTCCCCGGCTCCTCCTTTTGCATTTTTGCTTCGATTTTGTTTTTTCCTCAGTCAGACCCAAAAGCAATATTTATAATTGTTCTTGAAAAAATTTTTTAATTGAAAAATATAATTTGTAAAAAAAAAAAAATTTTTTTTGCAATATTTAAAAATTCGTTGACATTACCTTGTTTAATAAAATTATGTACATATACCTTGTTCTGCTAATTTTAAAGCCGCAACTCATCTTTTTGTAGTCAAGTTAATCAATTAGTCAGTTATCGTTTCAAATAACCAAACCCTAAGTTTGGTTAATTTTTTTATGTGAATATGTTACGTAACGTAATTAGTAAAAAAAAATGAATCCAAAATTTTTTTTGAAAAAGAATTCTTATTATGTATGAATTTACTATTTTTGTTTTACCTAAAAAACAAAATAAATTACTTAAAACCTGTTTTGTTACCTAAAATTCATTATTCTAGTTTGATATAAAATTTCATTTTGTTATTTAAAAGGGAAATAAAATAATTTCTGTATAAATCTTGTATTTAATTTAAATCTTGTATTTAATCGTTTTTTATTTTCCAAACATCCCAAATCACTATGAACATTTCTAATTCATACGAAAAGACCTTATCTTCTTTATTTGCGTATCCACTACTGGATGTTGCATGTTAAAATAATGTTACAAAGTATAATATACAATCTGAATATATAATATGCTGGAATATACAAAAGATGTATCAATGTGATGTTGCTAATTATGGTAGCAAACTGCTCGCTATCTAATGCAGTATGCATCAAATCACCAACTGTTTCGATTCCCGTCCAATTCCGGATGTTTCTGAGCCAAGACATCTGCTTTCTGTCGACTTTACGTCTTCCCTCAGTTTTCCCCTGAATAATTAGATGCATTAAGTTTATACCTTTCGCTTCTTATTAAATGGTCAAAATAGTTTGTTTTGCGGTGTTTTATGGTTGGAAGCAGTTCCAAATCTGTCTGCATTCGGTTTAAAACCTACCAACTCAGAGATGATCTACCCAA